ACTAAAATTTCGACTGGAATGGGGTCGTTAATCGATTTGCTTGGGACCAATAGGCTAGTCAAGTAGTGAGCCAATTTAAAATCGTTAGTATGCACCGGTGGAAAGTAACCATTTTAAATTGGCTCACTACTTGACTAGCCTACTGGTCCCATGTACATCTATAATCGTACCTCATTATAGCCGAAACTCTAGTACTACACTATGTTTGTTTTGATTCGCTATGAAAGTTTGACAGATAAAATGAGGGGTTCGTGGATTTTCCTATGTTTCGAGGAGTGCAATGATTGGCTTGGGACCGAAGGTACCAGAGCTGAGCCAGAAAGTTGAGCACGTTTCTTCGGGATCTTCTGGGCTTAGAGTTACCTCTATGGTATAGTACTGTCCAGTGCTGTTAATTCTCATATCATTCGATTGAAGATGAACCAATACAACCATTGAATCAATTTTGTGAAAACGAATTCTAACATGACCATAATTTGAAGAGCCCCTTTCTCATTCGAAGCTCATCGATACTGTCAATTGGAAGATTGCCGCAAAAGCTCAATGCAGATGTCGCCACTGCATGATGATGATAATGTTGACAGACTGCATATAAAATTCTTGAAAATCAGCATTAAATCATAATTTTCATCAAGCCTGCGTGAAATCCTTCCAATATAACATTCGAATTGAAAAAGAAAACGTTTTTACGATCAGACTGATGTGCATCTTTGACTTTTCCAGGTGAACTTTCTTAAGATATATTCATTTCATTTCACGGCTCCATCAATGCTGCATCGTAAATATGATGGTAAACAGAAGTAAATTGCTCAATTACTCTAAATAAAGATGATTTGTCATCTTGTTATCACTTTATAAACCATTTAGCACCATTTTATAGTATGGTGCGTGTGGAGTAAATCAAGTTCCGTTGCGTTTTCCGTCGAAAATTGTGAGTATCAATATGTTTACCTAAAAAAGGCCAAAATACACATTTATTAAATATTGGCGTCCTATAAAACCATTTCTCCATTATCACCAGCATGATACAATCTTCCCTAAGTAAATTCACTTAATTTCCACTTTCATCCCAGTGGAAATCGCACATATTCACCATTTTCCGAAAAATGCAGCTGCGCAGGAGGTAACCTCTACCAGTTAGTTTGCAAACACGTTTTCTTACACGATTAAAGCAAAAGTTTCCACGGGAAATTATTAGTTTTTCTTTAAGGACCGATTTGCCCTAAAAATCGTCTGCTTTATTTGGAGAATTTGGAAACTATCTACCTTCTAGTAGTTCTCACTTCGAAATGTAGGTGGCGAAAGCTTGGAAAAGTTTTTTTTTTTAATGCACCACCAATGTAGAGTGCACCAAGCGAAATCGAGAGCAAACGTCAGCCAAACCGTTTGTTTACATCAGAATAAGATTTTATCACAACACAAATTAAAGCATTTTTCATTCAACATCTTGCCAATTTCCATTGGTAATTGTTTTGTTGTATGATTTTCCACTGATCTGAACTGTTTTGCACCTGAACTATTCACACACAAGAAATCCGGATGATCATAACCACTAAGGCACTTTTATAATTTTCCATTTTTCTTAACAAAAATATTCCTGGACAGAATTAAATTTTTCAACTATAAATCAAGTTTTGGAGCATCTCAGATGAATCAATTTATCAGGAAAATGAATCAGGAATTTCTGCTCACAACATTCTTTTTGACGTTCTCCTATTTACCACCAGAGGATGAATCGATCGTTTAGTTTCTATTAAAAAGGCGTATTGAGTCACTCACTATCATTTGATATACGCCAGTGGAGTATGGAAGAAACCCAGAAAAATTGTCCCGAACAGATAAGTCGACCCGATGTCGGATCAATGTAAGGCAAATTTAAGTTCGATGTCGACCCAATGTCGTGTTGCTGTCGGGTCAATTTTGGGTTTATGTCGGGTCAATATCGGGTTGGGGTTTGGTAGAAGTCAGGTTGGTGTCGGGTTGGCTTAGCTTTTTCGCCTGAATGTCGACCAAAGCTCCGTTTATGTGCAGGTTAGAATGATGCATGCCTTCGTCAAATGACTAAGCAACTGATATCACCCATTTAAAGGAGGTCCCCTTTGATAGCGGATAGCTGCTTTACTCATTTTCATCAAAATTGATCAATTGATTTTGAGAATTTGCAGCACTGGTTCTGTCAAAACCTCAGCATTGATCCATTGTATAGTTATTTTTTTTCCAGGTTACTCACTCCCCCATACAAAATTTTCTCACTTTCGCCAAAGCGGATTTACTCAAAGCCCACTTTTGACGAATGTAAGTAAATTTTTTTATACGAAATATGATAGTGAGTAAACTAGACTCAGTCTGTTAGTTACTTTTTACGGCCGTGGGCCATCTTTTAATGTTTTAATCTCATATCTAGGATTGGCTGATCTTGGATCGATCTTTGGAAGATCGATCTTTTTCATCCCGATTTATGATTTTTCAGATCGATTCTTTGTCCTCGAAAAGATCGAAAAAATCGATCTCTTCTTTCGATGTTTTCGATCTTAAAAAAAATAGATGTTAAATTCATTCGTTCGTTGTAAATTTAACGAAAATAACGTCAACATCAGCATCACCTACATGACGTCACTATTTGCGTTTCCGATATATATATATTTTTTTTCCTTGATTTGTTTTCCGTCGATCTTGTTTTCCGTGCTGAGCACCAATGCTACCGACGTGCCAGGAAGGCAGCTCCCACACCTGGACCCTACCTATCGACCCATCAACTCATGGACCGGGGACCAACGGCTTTACTTCCCATCCGAAGGAAGGCGTGATCAGAGATGTTATGCCTCAAAACATCGCGGCGGCGCCGACTGGGACTGAACCCAGGCCTGTTGGGGTGAGAGGTAATCACGGTTTCCGATATTTCCGGAGAGCTTTGAGATTAGGGCGTAATTGCTTTTGTAAACAAACACGTCAATCACCGATTTCTCGTGAATTAAAACTCAATCTCGAAAAAAAAAACAGAAGAATGATTTCTTTATCATTTGGTATAGTTTGTTCGTGAAATTAAGCTTGGTTTTTTTTAATTATAGTCACAAGAGAGTTAACTTGGGTCATTCGTGACTTGTCCCGGGGTGAGATTTGAACCCGTGACCTTGGCGTGAGTGGTATGGATGCTAAACACTACGCCGGGGTGTCCCAAAAGAGAGATTGAGTATTAGTGAGAAATTGGTGATTGACGTGTTTGTTTACAAAAGCAATTACGCCCAAATCTCAAAGTTCTTCGGATTTACGAATACGGTTTGATCTACCTCCCTTCTGTGCTCATTGCTCCTTACCGTCACGACAACATTTAACGAACGTACACACCAAATTTTCAAATCCTGTTCCAGCAAAATGAATTGCTGAATCGCGTCCAGCAAAACTAACTTTAACTGAATAATCTGTAATATGAAATATTTTGCTGAACGTTCCAGTAAACTGTATTAAACGTCAAAATCGGGCTAAAATCCATCGTTATCTCATTCACGGTTTATGATTATTTTAATGTTCAGTGTTCGACTAACAAAATATCTTTGAAATTATATAAAAAAAGAGCGTTTGCCATGAAGTAAGTATACTAAACTACCTTAGAAACCTGAATCAAGTTGAAAAACTATCGTTTTTCTCTGAAATTTACAACTTTCTCCATTAGTAAACTTACACAGGAGTCTCCTTAATAAAGAAACAACAACAACAACAACTCATCCAGGATGGAACATCATAGCTTCTTCAAGAAAATATTTTTAAGAAGTGCAGTAACATTTAATAAATTACTATATTCAACTACATGGAAATGTAATCAAATATTTATTCCAACAATGAGATGCCTCTTTCTTAAAAAAAAAACAACAATCGAGATTTGCTGCTCTTCCAGCAAAATGATTGATCTTCCGTTTTGCTGGATAATCAGTAAAGTGCTGTCAATTTGGCATTGTACGAAATTGCTGGTCTTCCAGCAAAAATATTTTGCTGAACGGATTGCTGAACTTTCAGCTCGGAAAAATCCAGCAAAATATTGCTGGTTTCCAGCGATAAAAAATGAGTGTGATACAGATCGATTCTTTGGTACCGATTTAAACAGCCGATCGATTCCGTCAAGATCGATCTTTCTCTGAAGATCGCCCAATCCTAGTCATATCAGCTCCCGCGCGCCTCTGGTGTTGGTTTTAACAAACTTATGACTTCGCCTCTCGCATCTTCTTGATATACCTGCTCATGCTACGTGACAGTTCGATTAGGGTGGAGTCACGAACTATGGAATTTCCATTTCGCATTGAGAGCCATGTTCGCAAACACTTCATTCACCCTCGCAACAAAGTAATGTTCGAGAAAACACACGTACACACTTAAAACACCCACTACTCGCATACTGCGATTGCTGATGCGAGTCGCGGTGTCCGCGGTGAAGCCTGCTTCGGTGCTGGACTGGAATAACAGTATCATTAATTTATCGTAGCTCGTATGTGTGGCGCGGCGTACAAACACGGTGCAGTGTTGGGTTTGTTGTAGTGGCGGAGTTGGTTGGTTGTTGCGAGCGAACATCAATCAAACAAGGTGTGCTGTGACTGTGAATAAGCAGCAAATGAATCAACGTTACATGGAAAAGGTGGTGTAAAAAAAGTGGAATTACATCAGGAATAAATCCGATATTTTTGTGATTTTTTTTTCCAAGTGAGTATACTGCGAATCACGCAGGAACTTTCTGTAATTTCTGTCATTTTCTTGGCTGTGTCGTGGAAAACTTCCAGCTGCTGTTGAAAAGAAGCCTTTATTTGGTGTTCGCTGCTTCAACTTCAACGAAGAACGCAAAAAAGGAAACCCAAATAAGGAAAGGGTCCAGAAAGAAGCGAAGCAACAAAGGAAGAAAGTTCCTACCGCACAGCCTACTGCGTGATTACTTTGAGTGAGGAATTTCGTATCGTTCGCAACTCTTCAGCAGGTTGTCCAGTGATAGCAGATAGCAGATAGCCTGCTACTAGTAGCTAGTCTGTATACCAATTGGAAAGAGCCAGCTGCCATTGGAGTGACGGAGATAGCGAACGGTAGTAGAACTTTCTTTCCACCTGCGTTGACGTTTTCGATCGAATGAATCATAAATAATCGGCCAGCAACACCAGCAGAGGATTTTCTTCGCTCGCAAATTGCTAACACAAGCACACCGACAAAGTAGGAAGTCGATTTGCATTCTAGTGAAATTCGCGCGGAAGGTAAGTGCCATTTCCGGTTTGGTGCACTTTGCAATGAAGGACTTGATTTTTTTTTTGTTTAAAGGAAAACTCAAAGCAACGTCAAAATGCCCGGAAGTGGTCCCGTTTACCAGCCGACGACGGTGTCGTACGAAACACGTCCGGGAACAGGTGCCGGTGGAGGATTGTTGGCCCAAACGACGGCCGCATCCTCGTTGAAGATGCTCCGGAAACCGGCCGCACAGATGTCGGTGCTGATTTTCGGACTCATTTCGTTGGCTGCTGGTACGTAGTTGTTTATCGCCCGTATTAAATTATGCAGGTTTTTGTTTTCCAGGAAGTAGAGGTCAGTAGGTAGGGGGAGGGGAGATCGTTCAAGGCTACGATGGGCTATTTTGGGGCGACGACGACGGCTACTAGTTTGATTTGTGTTGGTGTGGGTGCACGGCGGAAATGAGTGTCATTTTCCGTGCAAGCACTACTAGAACCGAATGGGGAAGGTCATGGATGGAGTGGACGGGGACTTTTCATGGTCTGTCTACTATGTCGATCGAAGGGATAGTCGGGATGAATTTTGTTGTGTGATTCTTCTCACTGCGGTGGTTAGGTCGAACGAGCTAAGTAATTGTTTTTCGACAAAGAGAACGATGATGTTAAAACATCGCAAACAACGAATACGATTTTAGCTGGTTGTCCACATTAAACATTAACTTTTGATAAGGTCGTCCCGACCCTATTTCTGCCCAGTTGGTGTTTTATTGGAGCTATTTTCTAACTGTTTGATCTGCACCATTATATATTTTGTATAAACGCTACTTGTTCGCTAACTGGGCTAAAAGCGCAGCCCACTTAGATAATTCGTTCGCTAACTGGGCTCAGTGCTGCACAATTTCGACAATACACGGTGATACTCAAAATTCTGCTTTGGTCACTCGTTTGAGCTAACAGTCATCGTCAAGGCAAACTATGTCAATTGTCAGTGGCATTTTTGTCAGTGACGAACATGTGCTGATTTGTTTATTAGCTAAATTTAATGGCTTGAGGAAAACAATTACATGGAGCCATTAAAGTGAACAAGCATCTACGTCCTGAACAGCTTGGATAACAATAATGTGACTCAGAATGCAAGAAATTACCCTTTCTGTTACCAGGCGAATCTTTGTCATTGACGAAAAAATGAATGAGATTTTGACAAAGATTTTTTTGAGGATCAAGTCTATCATTGACTTTGTGAAAAACAATTTTTTCAATATCGCGCAAAAGTCTGTCAATGACAATGACAAATCTCAGCACTGACTGGGCTTGCTAATCAAACGTAAAAAAAACACTTATGGGAACTTCAAAGGATTGTTTGGTCGACGGTGAAAAAAAATCACGTGCATTGAATTCAAACAGTGTTATTGGTTATTATTATTTACACAGCATTCAAACTCGCGAGTTTAGAAAGGTCGCTTTTAAGTTTTGATTTCAGTGTGAAATGAAAATAATTTAAAATTTATTTATATTGACACTTAATGTTCCATTCAAATGCCCCTCATCAATTATGACAACTAAATGTCAAACTAATTGTGACGTCTGTTTTTGACGTACACAGAAAAACAAAACTACCCACCGCTTGGGTTTTTTAAACTCAAATTTGAGTTATTTGACATATGCCCGTTTCATTTCCTCTCGCTATTGTTGTCAAAAATAAAACGAAAGATTCGACTCAACCGTCTAGTTCCGTACGAGAAGCCAAAATTGAGTAATATGCGATATACCCAAATTTGAGTTTATTGAACTTAATTTTGGGTAGAAAAAATTGAAAATAACTTAGCGATGGGTAATTTTTTTTGCCGTGCTTAAATGCAAACTACTTTGAGCCGGTTTACCCAAATTTGGCTTATCGTACGGAACATGGGAGATGAGTGAAAAGAACTTAATTTTGGGTTGTTTTGAATTTCTGTGTACATATAACGAAGGTCCATTTAAAAAGCAGCCCAGTTGCTGAAAGTCCAATTAGCGAATAGCAATAAAGTGGGTCAGGAATGCAATCTGGCGGGTCAAAGTTAATAATTCAGTACACTGAAACAAATCGACATGTACCGTTTATTGGATCCATCTTATAACATAGCAATGTCAGCAGATTTATTCATTCTATGTGATGATTGATAGATTCCATTGGATTATCACTTAAAAACCATGACTGCGATATGGAATGATTTCTATCGTAATTTCACATACTTAGTACTTGATAATACTTTGCTTCGAACGTGGTTAGCGAAGGTAAGAAGTATATGAATATTGTCTGATATATTTCATGGTGAAAAACTGTTGATATGTCATGGGTGGGAACAGACATCTAGAAACTAATGGAAAATCATATAAGTTTGCACTATGAGAAAATTCAGTAAAATATACCTGTTTTCATGATGAATATTGCTCACTAAAATATATATCTTATAAGATAATCATGTATATTTTATTGGAGTTGCTTTTACTGATTTTTGACGTTTGTTGATATGTCGCGTGTAAATAGACATGTAGAAACTATTGGACTGTCATTTAACTTTGCAGTATAGGAAAACATGTATATCTCATTGTAATAGCTTGCTTTGATTTTTGACGTTTAAAGATTGTAAACAGATCTATCCCAATCATTAAATAGTCATATAGAAATGCCTTTTAAGAAATCCAACAGCAAGCATTTGTTTTTGCATGTTTTTTCTGGGATGAATATCGCTCCCAATAAAATACATCTTACATGATTGTTCTTTATAAATTATTGAAACAATTTTCAACGATGTTAACGTGCACTCATTAAAATGATTAGTTGAACTAAATACTACTAACAACAATGATACTGTATTGAATAATCTTTGTTTGTTATTGTTTCATATGATAATTGGTTCCAGAAAAGAATGTACATATTGAGATTGAAAAAAAAATTTATTCTACTGTAATATTTACTTTGCTATGATTCTAATTGTAAGCCTTCTACACGGCTAATTCAGATTCCAGCCCTAAGTAGTATTCGAACTTCATGAGCCAGTTCTATCAAATCATATAATTTAGTCGTTGATTTATTGGACACAGGTGCATTAGGAAGATTTGAACAAACCACACCACCGAAACGGAACATTAATTTGTCAGTGCTATTTGTCTTCACTCTAGCAAAACGAGCATAAAGTTGCACTACATTCCATGTCGGGAGAGCTGTTCTTACTTCATGCTATTTGAACGAGCTCAATCTTGAAGTCAGCCGTGGCCCAGTGGAATCGAGCACAGACACCGAAAGCATCACACCTCAACAGATCTTGATCGAATCCCAAATCAGCTGCAATAAAAAAAAAGGCACAACTGTGAAAGCTCCCACTGCCTGATGTTTATTTTTCGAATTTATTTTTAGAAATCGATTAAATATATGTGTCAAAAGAAGAAGTAAATTTCATGTTATTTTCACATAAACTTTACTTCGATTGATTTATGACACATATATTATATTGTGGTGAAAAGTATAGCTTATGCTTATGGGTTTCAAATCCATTTCAGTTATTTATTATAATTTGATCGATTTTCATTTATCATATGACGATCATATAAAAGTTACCAAATTATCAGCATTGTAAATGTATCAGATATTCATATAGAATTTACCTGACACATTTTCAATCATATCATTTTCAATGGATTATCTTATAGCGCAAATTTATTAGACTTCCACATAACAGGAATATGTCAAATTTGTTCAGTGTAGCGAAGCATTTCCGTGACTCGGTGTCTACAGTAAAGTTTCTCATTATAAAAAGGATCATCTAATGGCATAAGGATAGTTCAAAACCTATTCACATACATGGCACCAAAATCGATCTTACCCAAATACCACAAATGTCGCCCCAGTTTTGCGGTATGGAGATTTTCGAAAAATTGTCGATTTCCCTTCAAACCTTGCTTCTAGCGGTGAGAAAAGATCGTCCACTCTACAGAGGCTTTGTCAGAATCAGGGAGTGTCAAGCAAGCAGACCGATAGCTTTAATCAGATTAACAAGAAGAGGAATAGTTTAGGAAATAAGTAAAATTTGAGGTATTGGACAATCAATAACCTTTAATCTTTTGTATGTATTGTTTCCCCTGCCTTTATTGTACTCGATTACTATATTATTCAAACCTACACCATCATCATGTAGGTAGAAGTTTCCCCTATCCGATGATGGTGTTGGTTTGCGTGGGTGGCCTTCACTTTGTGAGTTAAGGGCTTTGGAACGGTTTGTTTACAAATGCTGATGGGCCTTTTCTATTGTTGATCCAGAATAAGTCTTTTTTTCTCGCGTCGGTTGTTACGCACGGTGTTCAGAATTTGCGCGGTTTTCGTAACTCGTCACAGCATTTTTTCTATAACTATCTTGAAACAATACACACGGAATCCAGTGTTCAAGCTGCCAACATAGGCTAGTCCTTCTGCTGTATTGTCAAAGATAGCAGCAAAATTTATTCAAATGGGTCAGACTTAGTCTTGAAAACAAAGCTGTCACGCAGCTCCAGCTTGATACCCAATAAAAAAAACATAGTTTTGTTTAGATGAGGTAGTTTTGTCTAGAATTTGAAAGAAATTATTGTAAAGAGAACTTTACGTAATTTGTAAGTAGAATTCCAAAATAGTTCTGTGTAGGATTCAAAGCTAATTTAAAATTTAAAGGTGGAAATTATCTTGATCATTCCAATTGGAATTCGGAAAGCAAGATCGACGGAAAACAAATCAAGGAAAAAAAAAATACATTCTACACGGCTAATCATACCAACTCAGCGACTGAGAATAATTGACTCAGAGAATTTTCTTTTCATACGAAATTTACTCAGATTTGGAAGAAACTGCAGTTACTCATAAGTTATGAGTAACTGCAGTTTCTTCCAAATCTGAGTTAATTTCGTATGGAAAGAAAATTCTCTGAGTCAATTATTCTCAGTCGCTGAGTCGGTATGATTGGCCGTGTACAACAATACTGAGAAAGTTTAATATGAAATTATCAGAATGATTAAGAGAATCTATGACAAAAGGTCGAATGGATACAAGTCGTATTGACAACCCTAATAAACAAATACCATGAACGAACTGTATCCTATACTCGCTATATTCATAGTCTGGCGGATAGAATCTCGGGAACCAATTGAGCTGTCAAATAGCGGAACCAATCGAGCAAATCACGATCAACAACAGAAAAGAGCACATCAGTTATTGCGAACAAAACTTCGGAACCCCTTTTCTCGTGACTCAAGACTCACCTACGCAAATTAATACCATCTTTGGG